GTAAGCTGCTCCAGTGTATCGGCCGCGCTGAATGACACTCAGTTCTTAGCAATGAGATTTTGCTCCTTTATTCCTCCTTGAGTCCCAGGTCTTGTTTGACCTGTCAAATCTTCATTGCTTCTGATGTCAAATGCACCAGAACGATCTTCGAGTGTCAAGCAAATAAGCCATCAATACTATTTGTGCAGCATATTTTTGAGCACAGTTATAGTTAATTAATTAGTACTGGCCACCCTGGCATACCACTACAGCTCAATTAAGTATGGTGTGAAAATGATTAAAAGGGGATGGGTTCATTCAAAAGAAACCTCCTAAAATTTTGAATCTTGCACCATGGTGGCAGCAGGCTCGGGACCAGCAAAAAGTAAGTACTTCTCCACACAATGCTTAATGAGCTTATGGAATTCACGGCCATGAGATGCCGCTACTTGACAGTCAAATAGTTGTTAAAATAAAGCAGTGAACAGGTCAATGGAGAATTGGTATATTAGAGGCTGTCATGGTAGCGAAAGGGATCTTTCCTTCCATATATATATATTCTTCATTTATACCCCATTTACCCCTCTTTTTTTCATTGTAACCTCACAACCACCCTCTGAGGTAGGTTAGGCTGAGAGCACACAACTGGCCCAAGGTCACCCAGCGAGCTTCCATGGCAGAGGGGGGATTCGAACTTGGGTTTCCCAGATCTTTTGTCACACACTATAACTACGATCCTGCACTGCCTCCTGCTCCTGAATGCCAGAGGCTGGGGACAAAGAAGGGGGGGGGGAACAGCAATGCTCCCTCTAAGCTGTGGAGTCTTGTGAGCAAAATTTCTACTTTGTGAGCTACTGGCACTAAAGTTGTGAGCGAGCGATTTGGCTGCTGCATAAATTAGTTTGCTCTGGAGCCATCCTTCCTGAGCTCAGACAAAAATGTGTGAGCTGGAGACTAGAAACTGTGAGCTAGCTCACACTAACTCGGCTTAGAGGGAACACTGGAAGGCAGATACTTTCATACCTTACTTGTATGCTTCCCTAAAAGCATCCAGTAGCCACTGTTAGTAGCAAAATGCTAAAGGTGATGGATCTTTGGTCGTTCACAAGGGATTTTTTGTTTTGTCATTTTAATTGTACAGTACCAAATGGCAGGACGTTTTGGCTCTGAATGTGTATTGTAGCTGGGGGAGGTTAAATACAACCCACACAGGACAAAGTTCAGGCCCAGTGGCACCTTTAAGACCAACAAAATTTAATTTTGGGCATAAGCTTTTCTGTGCAAGCACATGAAAACTTATACACAGAATTAAACTTTGTCGGTTTTCAAGGTGCCACTGGACTCACACTTTGTTGTGTTGCTTCAGACCAACACGGCTACCGACCTGAATCGACAACCCATATAGTTATATTGACCAGACAGGAGAAAGATGCTAGGCTGTCTCCTGGCCCAATCAAAATGCCCATAAAGCCTGTACAAATTAATTTATATGAACTTCCTTCGGGATGCCAGTCATTCCTCTAAGGATTTAATCCACAGAAATTGACAGATTAGAGTAATGCCTTTATGGATTTAATGCATAGGAATTTAATGCAGTGGAATTAAGACTCTGAACAATGTTTTTTTTTTTAACCTTCATCAGTTCTTCCAAGCAGGAGAGGTAGATTTTGAATATCGCTGCAGTGGAGGGCGGCCCAATGTACTGCTTTATATCAGCTCTGTCGACAAAAGCCATGTCAATTTTCTCCGTGATATTTGAAGTAGTCAAGATCACTACGTTCGGAAACCTTTAGAAAAAAAGTAAGCCACAAACAGCAATTTCACATGCTTAATGCAAATAGGGTACCCTGACGCTTGAGACACTCAACAGTCTTATTTTAGTATAAAGTCTTGGCGTATGTGGATTGTCTGGAACCAAGACCGTATTTGATTCCCCCCCCCGTTACATTTCCCAGTTTCTTCTTATTGCAGCTGTATGAGATAAAAACAAATTCTGCCGTGGGCCCTGCAGTGACCTGCCCTAGCGGAAGGCACTCCTGACAGCCCAACATGATTCCTGTACCTTCTTCCACTTCCCACCGCAGTCCAAAATATAACCCAAGATGCTGTCCCCAAGATGCAGAGGCCCCGTGGAAACAGC